AAAGATCCAAAATGAAAAAGAAAAACAAGTGAAACCAAACTTAAAATGTGTTTTAAAGCACAGATTTAAAATTTGGGTCAGGGTTGCACATTGCTTTAAAGCCTTCTGCATCCTTATCAGCTATGTTTGTTTAGGACTTGATTTGAAACGGATCAAAGTTCTTTTCTGTTGACTGCATTTGAAAAAGGTTGCACACAAAAATCATCTACCCCTCATACAGCATGATATTCCTAATTTTATTTTCAGACACAATTGTTTAAAATCGGGGCAGACACAGTAGTTTGTCAGAAAAAAATTACATAATTACACAGACACACACAAACATACTTGCACAAATATCAGTCCTCAAACCACTATACTCTTCCTCACCTGTAAAGCTGCTGTCGGCCCTTGTCAGAAGAGCATCTGCAAATCAGGCTGGTATAAAATAGTATTCCTGTTCCGTGAATTTCAGAATTTCTCTGAGGACAACTCTTATTGTTTCAACAGGTACCACCCTCTGCCCTGCACTTCTATAGAAAACAGCTTCTCTCTCTATTTCTCTCTCTCTCTTTCTCTCTCTCTCTCTGTATATCTCTCGCTCTATATCAATTTACCACCAAAGCTTTTACACCACCTCCCTCTCCGTGCATGCATAGGTGTGCATTTTGTGAAACTTGATATGACGCTTGAGAGCAGTTGAGGAAAGTGGGTTGTGAAAAATAACTTGTTAATCATTAACACTGTGACATATCTTGTTTCCTGGACTCCAAAGAATGTATGTTGTTGGTAGAAGAGTCTCACAAAGCCAAATTGTTTGTCAATTAATGTTAGATCAGATATGTGATGGGTTTCAGGTAAAATAAATTAAATAGAATTTTAAAAATATGTGGACCACAAAAGAAAAGGAAGGAGAGACAAAATGACACTCAGTGAAGAGCACACAGTCCCCTTTAATTCAAACATATCAGTTCCCTAAATGTTTCTTTCATCAAGATTCATGAAAAACATCCAAATTATTTATTTTAATCAACGTTTTTTGTCTTAGAGTTCAAATTTTCCATCATAAGCTTTATGGGACAAATTCCATCATCACTGGGAATACAAAATACTTTTCTAGTGGTGTTATTGAATCAGTTGCCACACCTTACAGACAACATATGAATAGATTCACGGTATAAGGAAGTGCTTGTGCGATATCCTGAGAACTGGGAAGTCACTTCTATGCAACCCGAGCGGGCTTTATGTGTCCACATCAGTCTATTGACATTTATCTATTACAGCCCTGATCATTGTCAAGGAATGTCATTTTTGTGTGATGTGCTCGTAAAAATTAAATTCTTTCCTGGAAAACTGCTGCGCTATTGCTCAGAAATCCCAAGAAAGATTTCCTGATATTCTTTTTCACTGCTTACTGCTCCCAATGTGCCCCACATAAAAACAAAGACCAGCAGGTACAGTAAAAAGCATCTACAAAGCTAGACAATGCTGCAGAAAAATTATATCGCAAATACCCCCAACCTCTTCCAGTCCCTCCCCAAAAAATCACATTGTGATGCGTATCAGTAATGTTAAACTTGCAATGGAAGCTTATTCCATTCTTTACCATCAGTACACAGAAAAACATCACTACCCATTTCAGACATGAATTTTGTGAAGATTAAGGTTTACCATATCTCTGGGTTTGACTCTTCCTCCTTGAAATAGATTAAAAAATATCACTGTCAAAACCTATAACCCTGATTCACAGTGTCTCAGCAGTCTGCCATATCAAGTTGGGAGTCCATATTAATGCCTTTATTGGACCAGATTGGATAATTTTTATTGCACATCAAGTGGTTGGCAACTATCTTACTTAACCTTTGCACAATTGTAACTGTTATGATCATGTTATACGATGCCAAATATACTGGGACGACCCACACCTTACGTCCTCACATTATACGTTTTGATGAAAGGATTTGGAACATGGATTTCTTTTTTATTTGAGGGAGCAATGGTCAGAAAATGGAAACAATAAAAACAATACAATCAACAATTCAGCAGAATACATAATCAAATCATTTCATTTCCTAGAAATTAAATTTCATTGTCAAAACCTTTGGGTAACTTTCCTCTCAAATTCCTTATAGCCATATGATTTCATAATTGACCCAATTAGGGCAGGTAGGTCATTGCAGATATCTTACAGTCATATTAATATTTTACTTGTTGATCACATCATTCAAATATTACATTGACCCTGTCATGGTAGTTTGTCCACTAATATCTTACAGTCATGAATATTATATCAAGAAAACAACAAGACAAGAAAGAAATAAAATTTCATAGCTCATTCTTCTCTCATTCAATCTGGCCTTTGAGTTTAGATTATTTTATTTCACTTTCTGTCCCCAAGGGTCAATTCTGAACTTGCATGCTCATTTCCACGTTTTTAAACACACTTAACTTTACTGCCTGGAGATTTCTTGGAGAAGTGGCTACAGACATATTAGGAGCCATAGTATCAAGAACTTAAGTCATGATTGTAAGTACTTCATGTGATATACATAAGTTAATGTAAGGCAGCTAACTCGCTGTGTTGCTTTGAATACACTGTGGCTCTTGTTCTGTAGTCTGGTTGAAATTTTAATCGCCAAAAAACAGGCTAGATAAGAGGATACCTTTCACCACTCAAAAGTGATAACATCTTGTGGACGAATGGTGACATCATTCAGACTGTTGCAGACACTTAGAATTTTATCTTAAACTGTGGTAAGTTTGCGGTCATTGTTTATCATCGCATTACTGTATATTTTTTAGATATTTATAGATGGTATTTTTTACAGCCCACATTCAGTTTTAGTATAGCTGGTGAACTCTGTAAATGTCAATGAGAAGGTGTAATAACTTAAGTCGACCATCAGGAGTCTCCATGCAGCAGATGTTACTAATACCTGGCAGTCTATTTTTGGAGTTTAAAAAGAGAGGCTGCTATTGGAGCTCTCGTGGGAAACTTATTGAGAGGCTTTTCATTGTGTGGTTAAAACATTTCTCTTAAGGCTCGGCCTCGAGTCTTTAACTTCCTGGTTGTGTTGGAGTTTCCTCTCAGTTCTCAGTGAGACGAAGGTGGATGTGTTTTGAAAGTATCACAGTTCACCAGAGTCGATTCTAAAACAATGATTGTGCAGACACATGCTGTCCATGTGAGAATGACAGGTCATCACATCCACTGTGTTATAACATTTGCAAATGAAGGGAGGGTTGTGGACTGGCATGATAGAGAGAGGATAAACCGGTTTAAAAGAATGACTGGTATGGGGACATGGAGGCAGACAGAGGCAAAGAAGGAAGAAGAGGCACATTTTTATTTTTACTCTTCACAGTTGAGTTAAATTTATTAAAAAAAAGACATCTCGAATCAAATAAGTAAGTGAAATAGCTCAACAACAAACGGACAGTAAGGAGAGGAGAAGACAGATAAGAGATATCATCATCTTGGCTAGTTCGCCATGGGGAATGCTGGTAAGCTGAGATGCTTAATTTTACTTCTGTTTGGCTTGTGACACACAACTTCTACAATTCTTAATCATGTTTTATAATATTGCTGTTTCTAGATTCCAACAAAATTAACCTCTATGAATGTTTTATGTCATATATTTCACACAGGTACTAGTTTAGCTTCTCTGTATGTCTCTCTGACAACAAAATCTTCAGCCCTTTTAACCTACATGGCCACTTACTCCTGCTATTTCTACATGTGTACAATAGAGCTATTGTTTATAAGATCCTAAGGTAAAACACTGACCATCTAGTTGTACTTAAACTAGTGCAAAAATCTCCAAATGACGGTGTGACAAAAATCCCTGCTGTTTATATGATGTGTCATTTTTTATTTTACTCTTTCAAGCTCCACACACTCAATTTCAGTCTCTCCAGACTGCAAATGATGCCAGGGC